GGGAGTACAAAGATAGATAACACATTAACATATACTTAAAATAAAAAAATCACAATAGGGTATAGCAGAGATTCTAATTCCTTTTTTAAAACCTCTACACCCCTGAGGAGTTCCACCCCATTACTGCTGTGACTGGCACTGGCAACTATGAGGCTCTGCCTCTCATAAAGGAGTGAGAGGGTATAAAGCAGGGTGTCTCAACCTCAGCACTGTTAATATTTTGGACCAGGTAACTTTTTGTTGTTCTTTGGCCTCTACCCACTAGATGTTAGTGTCACACAAAACTTTCCCCCAGCCCCTCACAGTTGTGACAACCAAAAATGTCACAAGACATTACTAAATGTCAGGGACTGATACAAGATTTGAAATAGCTCCACAGGTGATTCTGATCCAACCCTTGGGAAGGCAAACCTCTGAGAATCACGGTAGTGTAGTGATAAAAGTGTACATCAGTAATAATATTAAGCAACTTGTGAGAACAGCAAAACAGGAGGAAAAAACATGGTTATAAGAATTTAGGGAAGAAATCGCTTTGACTAAAGTAAGCTAAAAGGTTTCATGGAGAAAGCCAGCAAGATGGATAATTCAGTAGGGTCATACATTTAAAAAGTATTTCACATAGGGGAAGGGACTTCCACTCAAGATGGAGGCATAGGTAAACACTGCTTGCCTTCTCACACAACCACATCAAAATTACAACTAAACTACAGAACAACCATCATTCACAACTGTCAGAAATCAAGTTGAAAGAAGTTGGACAACTACAAAACTAAAGAAACCTCATTAATCCAGACTGGTAGGAGACTGGAGAAGCAGAACGAGCTGGTCTAACACCCATGTGTGGTGGGTAAAAATTCAGAAGGGGTATCTTGGGAGCAAGAAGTACCAGCCCCACAAGAGGCCCCGCAGCCCAGAATTACAGTGCCAGGAAGAAAAAGCCCCCATAATTTCTGGCTATAAAAACCAGTGGGGTTTGAGTCAGTGAAAGGAACTCCTGGAGTCCGAGGCAGTGCCTCTTAAAGGGCTTATGCATCAACTTAGACTGATTCCCTCTGAGCTCCAGCACTGGAGTAGCAGCTGGTGAAAGGTACCAGTGACATATGGGGAGGAACTGAAGTGTCTGGCATCAGAGCGAGAGGTAGGGGACAGATTTCCTCCAGACAGAAAGGTGGGCAGAGGCCATCGTTCCTTTTCTGAGCCCTCCCACCCCACAGAGCCACAGAGCCAGTAGGTGGGAGCCGTATCTAAGTCCATCAAGATGGCTCACACAGTTTGCTTTGCCCTGGGGAGTCCCTGAGGCTCTACCTCACCCAAATTATGGCCCACCCAACTGTTAACAGTGGCTTTTCCACATGAATGGCTGGTCTTGGCCCAGGCTTCACATGTTCCTGAATCCTCTCAAACAAGCAACAACCAGCCTCAGTGAGCCCCCACCCCCGACCCCTCTGGCTAAGAGGCCCCAGGCCTGGCACTAGCAGCAGCCAGCTCTGGATCACAGTTTGGCTTTGCCAGGAAACCTCCAAGCCCAGCACAAGTAGCAGCCATCCTGAAACCCCAGAGCTTGTGCACCCAATGGACAGCTAAAGACCACATCGAAGCATCATCACATTATGCCTGCACAGTTTATCTTCCACGGAGGGTGGAGGTTGCTGGTCAGTGGTCATAGCCAGTCCTTCCAGCTGACTGGGCTGGGTAAATCCCTTGCATTGACCTGCCACAGCAATCAAGGCTCAACTACAAGAGGAGGGTGTACTCAGCCCACACGGAGGGTACACCTTGAGCACCCAGCTTGGATGATAGGGGAGGCTGTGCCACTTGACCCTATGGGATGCTCATTACATTAGGCCATACTACTAAGACAGAGAGTCACAGCAGCTCTACCTAATACATAGAAACAAACACAGGGAGGCTGCCAAAATGAGGTATCAAAGAAATATGGCCCAAACGAAAGAACAGATCAAAACTTCAGAAAAAGAACAAAATGAGATGAGCAATTTATCGGATGCACAACTCAACACAATGGTTGTAAGGATGCTCAAGGAACTCAACAGCATAAAAAAGACCCAGGCAGAATTGAAGGATATACTAATGGAAATAAAGAACACCCCTGGCTGACTCAGTGGGCTGAGCGCCTGCCTGTGAATCAAACAGTTGCCGATTCGACTCCCAGTCAGGGCATATGCCTGGGTTGCAGGCCAGGTCCCAAGTTGGAGGCATGCGAGAAGCAACCAGTTGATGTTTTTCTCACACATCAATGTTTCTCTCCCTTTCTTTCTCCCTCTCTTCCACTTGCTCTAGAAATGAATAAATAAAATCTAAAAAAAAAAAAGAATAACAATTTACAGGGAACCAACAATAGAATGGATGAAGCTGAGAATCAAAGCAATGATATGGAACATTAGGAAACAAAAAACGACCAATCAGAACAACAAGAAAAAAGAATGCAAAAAAAAATTAGAATGGTATAAGCAGCCTCTGGGACAACTTAAAATATTCCAATATCCACATCTTAGGGATGCCCGAAGGAGAAGAAAAAGGGCAAAAAATTGGGTATCTATTTGAGAAAATAACAAAAAAAACCCCAAAAACCTTCCCTAGTTTGATGAAGGAAATAGACATGCAAGTCAGAGAAGCACAAAGAGTCCCAAACAAGATGGATACGAAGAGGCCCACACCAAGATACATCATAATTAAAACACCAAAGATTAAAGATAAAGAAAGAGTTTTAAAAGCAGCAAAAGAAAAGCAGTTAAGTTACCTACAAGGGAGTTCCCATAAGGCTGTCAGCTGATTTCTCAATGAAACTTTGCAGGCTAGAAGAGATTGGCAAGAAAAATTCAAAGTCATGAAAAGCAAGGACCTACAGTCAAGATTGCTCTACCCAGCAAAGATGACATTTAGAATCGAAGGACAGATAAAGAGCTTCCCAGACAAGAAAAAAACTACAAGAGTTCATCATCACCAAACCATTATTATGTGAAATGTTAAAGGGGCGTATTTAAGAGAAAGAAGATGAAAACTATGAACAATAAAATGGCAATAAGTGCAATCTATCAAACACTGAATCTAAAAACAAACTGAGCGAACAAGGTGAACAGAGACAGAATCATGGATATGGAAAGCACTTTGATGGTGCCACATGGAATGGGGGATTTTCGGAAATGGGTGAAGAGGTGATAGGATTAAGAAGTACAAATTGTCAAGAAGTCAAGAAGTTGACAAAAAGTAGTCAACAGGGATATAAAGTACAGTATAGGAATAGCAACAGAGATATAAAGTACAGCATAGGAAATGGAGTAGCAAAAAAAATTATATGCATGACCCATGGACACAAACAAAGTGGTAGGGATTGCCTGAGGGGGTGGGGGTGCTATTGGGGAAGTAAAGAAGGGAAAATTGGGACAACTGTAATAGCATAGTCAATAAAATATAATTTACATAAATAAATAAAAATATTTCACATATTATATTTTTCCCAGAGTCATTTCAGCTAGAATTAGAATAGTAAAGAGAATTACAGAGAATGTGTGAGAAAATTTGCCTAAGGTGATATTTCTTGAATTTATGTAAGTAAAGACATGCATTTACTCAGAGGAAGAAAAGAATGGAACCTTTCCTTAGCTCACAATGGCTGTCCTTTAGGTTTGGACTAATCCACAAATATTTAGTGAGTACTTACTATGTTCCAGGACTAATATGCAGGTTCTTGGTGCTGGAAATACAATAATGAATGAACCTTCCAAAAGTTTCTGCCCTCATAGAGTTTACTTTCCCAGGGGTGGGTAGACGATGGAGAAAGACAAAAAATAGGTGTAACAATAGGTAATACATCATGACAATAAGTGGCACAAGAAAAAGAAAACAAAAAAAGAGGACAAGTTGTGCTGGGTAACAGGATTCAGTTTGGGGAGGTCATGGAAAGAATCAATGACCTAATGGCATTTGAACAAAGATATCTGAAGGCAATGACAGTGCTAACCACAGGGAAGAGCATTCTGAGCAAAGGGAATAGCAGCTGCAAAGCTCCTGAGATAGGAGAGTGCTTGGCATCTTTGAAGGACCACGAGAAAGTCAGATTGGCAGCAGCATACTCAGCAAAGGACTGAAGATGAGGTGACAGGGAGGTGGTGGGGGCAGCTCGTAGGCCCTGAAAGGATGTTGGCTTTTATTGAGATCAAGAACCTCCTGGAGGCTTCTGAGAAGTACAGTGTTATTACTGAACTAAATCACGCTGGCTTTTAAGAATGCTTTAGGAAGGCAGGAGTGGAAAAATAGAAACCGATTAGGAAAGTATTTCAGCCAAGGAGAAATGAGGGTGTGGACAAGGATAATGGTGAGAAGAGTGGGATTCTGCATTTATTCTGACGGTGGAACAAACGGGAATCGCCCATGATTTAGTTGTGGTCTGTGAGAGAATAAGAGAAGCCAAGATCTTTGACCTGAGCAACTGGATGCAACAATTTTTCTTGAGGGATCCTCTGGTTCTCACTGTGGGCAGAGAGGTCCCAAAAGAATCTTTGGAAACATATGTGCCTCGGACCATCCCATATTTGATTCCTCCTTGTGTTCCCAGAGCAAGTACAATAATAGAGCATCCACCAATTATTATTTGGCACCAAATCTTTCTCCATGACTCGGAGGGTGCATATTACCAGCTCCAATTTTTTTAGAAAAGCAGCTGTGTCGCCGGGAGGATAAGTATGTTCCTATCACACACTAGGAAACGACAGAGCCAGGGTTTCCATCCAGGTCGTCTTGGACTCCAAAACTACTGGGAGGTGCCTTTCAATAAAAGCAGTTAAACGCACAAGCGAACAAAGCGCAATGCCCGATGTGTGCCAGGCCCCGAGCGAAGGAAGGCTAACACCGCGCCTCCGGGGGCTGCGCTGCAGAGGACACCTGTTCAACGAGGGCCGGGGACCCCAACCAGGCTCCCGGGCCTGCAGACCCCTCAGGCCCACGTCCACCACCATAGAGGTTGTCAGCCCTCTTCGATTTACCTGTTGCGGCACCAGAGCAGCTCCCACGCCGTTGCCGGTGGCCGTGCCCGCCCCCGTCACAGCCCCGGCTACCGCGGTGGCCGCCGCCGCCACCACGACGGTCGTCAGGGCGGCCATTTTTCCTCCCAGAGACGATCCGGGCGCTGCAACTACCGTGACCTGGGGGTTCAGGCGCGGGGAGCTGCCGCCTCCATACGGTTCTTCTGCGCTGCGGGACTCGGTCGGCTTGCAGGGCCGGAGCGCGGGCCGTGGCTGGGGCGCGGGGCGGAGCGCGAGCGCCGGGCGGGGCCGGAGCGCAGGGCGGAGCCCGCTGGGGCGCGAGTTAGGTGGCAGATCGTTTGATTGCGAGTTGCCGGGCTGTGTATAACCTTTTCCTAGAAACATATCTACTCTTATTCAACAAAATCTTTCTACACTGCACCTCTCCCTAACTTCCAGGAAAATTCATTATCTTTCAGTCTCATACTTAAATTTATTCTTGTCATATCTAGAAATACCTACATCTATCATAGATATAGATTATAGCTATAGATATAGATTATAGCTATAGATATATTTAATAAAAAACTTTCTAGGTTTCTACTAAGTCCTAGTGAAACTGAACCTAAATGAAAAAGTATTATTGACGGGCTTGAACAATAAACTATATTCCACTTTTCAAAGAAACAAAACAAAGCATGCCCCATGCTTATCAGATGCCAGAGACAGGAATGCCATAAGACATGAGGTTTTTGTCTTTCTTTAACATTTTAATATGTGTGCATTTCATTTCTCTTATATACTGAAAATCTGGGTTCCTTGGAATATCAACCTGTTTACTTTTTTGCTTTTTCTTGCGACAGTTATGTGGTTTCAAATTACAATTCTAATGCTACTACTAACAATAACCCACTAAGCGAAGTTTAAGATGATTTTGCAGTTCTTTTTGTCCTTAGACTATCTCCTGGACAGATGAGTGTTGTGTTGAAAAGTTTTCTGAAATCTGTCTTTTCTCTTTGTGGTTATAGAATCAGTTTGTATATAGTTGGGTTCTTTTGATTGTATTTGTGTTCAATTTCAGTGTTTCACCTTTTATTTTCTTTTTAGTTTACTCTTTAGAAATATGTAAAACATGTAATATAGGTAAACTCAAAATGATACAAAATGGTATGCTTAAAGAAGTCTTGCTTCCAAACACATCCTCTCTGTACCATTTCAACTGATTATGTGTAACCAATTTTATGAAGTTCTGGCTTGTTCTTTTATGTTTCTTTCTTGCAAAAATAAATATATATACCTATGTTAACTTTCATTTTTTTCTTCTTTTTACAAAAACATGTAGCATATTTATTAGTTTCCTAGGGATACCATAAAAAAAAATCACAAAAGGAGTGGTTAATAACTATAGAAATCTATTCTCTCATACTTCAGGAGGCCAGAAGTCCAAAATCAAGGTGGTGGCAGGGTTGGTTCCTTTTGCAGGCCTGAGAGGGAGTATCTGTTCCATGGCCCTCTCTCAGCTTCTTATGGTTGTAGGCAATCAGTAGTGTTCTCGGCTTGTTAGCACCTTACTCCAGCCCGTCTCTGTCTTTGCTTGGTCTAGTGTCCTGTGTTTTAGTGTCCAAATTTTCTTCTTCTTATAAGGACACAAGTCAGTGCATTACTGTCCACTCTAATCCCACATAAACTTATTTTAACTTGATTACATCTGCAGAGATCTCATTTCCAAATAAAATCACATTCACAGGTACTGAGCACTAGGACATCAGCGTATCTCTTTGGATGACACAATTCATCTCCTAACATATTATGCATAATACTCTACACCTGACATTTTTCACTGACTGTATCCTGGAACTCACTGCTATTGGTCCACAGAAATCTCCCTCATTTTTAAAGTGAACGTATGATACTCTTTTGTTTCATTCAACCAGTCATCTACTGATAGATGTCTAGGTGATTTCCAATCTTTTGCTGTTACAAGTAATGATTCACTAGTATTTCATATTTGGACAACTATATCTTCAGTAGAGTTGCAGAATCAAAGGTGAAATGCCAACACAACATACTGTATTTTGTCATGTATAATGAGCACTTTTTGCCGAAATTTTTGAGGATAAATAAGGATGTGCATTATGCATGGGTATAATGATTACATACAATTGGTATAATAATGGTTCTAATAATCCCATGTATAATGCACACAGAATGTGGGTACACATTATACACAGTCCTTTTTTTTTGCTCAGTCCCCCTACACCCTACCCACTTTATCCTTAGCTGTCATCCTGCTATCTATGAGTCTGTCTCTATTTTGTTTGTTAGTTCAGTTTGTTCATTAGATTCCACATATGAGTGAAATCTTTCGGTATTTGTCCTTCTCTGCCTGTCTTATGTCACTTAGCATAATGTTTTCTAGGTCCATTCATACTATCGCAAAGGGTAAAACTTTCTTCTTTTTTATAGCCAAGTAGTATTCCGTTGTATTAATGTCCCATAGTTGTTTTTATCCCTACTGACTCCTGAAGTCAGAATAAATGCGATAAATGCTCACCAATATTACATACCTATAGATGGGTGATAACTACCTTCACAATTTTCATTCTCAAATAAAAACAGTTGAGCTCCTTGTATAAACCTTTAAATGACTATTTCCATACACAATGTTCGACTGTTTAAATGTAACTCAGTTTTTGGAAACCTAAAAAAAAAAAAAAAAAAGTGGTTTAAAAAGTTTTCAGTTTTTCTGCTCTTATTTTACCAGATACTCTCTAAGAGATTGTCATTTTCCTGAGGATGGGCAAAAAGTGTTATTGGTTAACAATACAATGATGACAGGAACAGTGAAAACACTTTTAATGTTAAGGCAGTCTGAGGGTAGCACTAGATAAAACGAAAAATTGTGAATGCTAAAAAAAGAAAAATCCCAACTTTTGATTGCATATTGTATGCCAAACATTCTTATTTACTTGCCTCCCTACCTTTAGTTAACAAACTTTTTAAGATAATACAGCTAGAACATGGTAGAATCAAGCATTAAGACTGAATATGACTTTAGAGTTAATAGTTCATTTTCCAAAACTACAAAAACATCCCAGTACATTTTTCTTCTTTTGAAAAATATTTTTTTTCTTGGAGTTCAGAATAAAGAAGACAATCAATCGCGTTTAAATGGATGTGGATTAGTCATTTGCAGGTAGTCTCAGGTTTACATCCCTTAGGTCAGCCTCGGGGAAATGAAAAATCTTCAGTGTGGTTGATAGTTTCATGACTATACCACTTAGTCCCAATAGAGCACTTTTCCCTGAGAATTGTAACCCATTTAATGAACATGAACCTATGACTTAACATTAATTTCAGAAAAAGTTATCATAAAGTCATTCTTTTACAGATAGATAGAAATTAAACTGTTGTATCGTCTATATATTCCTTTGCATTTGTAGGAAATGTTTCAGAAACTTCTAGCTCATAGGAACAAAATAACTTTTCAATTAAATATTGACTCTTGCTTGAGAATTTTTAATTAAAAACAAATCCCTATACATAAATGTGGAAGTTAACAAATTACTCATCAAGAAACTAATAAAGAAAACTGTGAATGGTTGGGACTTCTGTAATATTGCAGGCTTTTTTTGTTTTTGCTTGTTTTTTTTTTTACAATTATCATGTGTTAATTTGAGCAGTTATACTGGTTATTTCTGGTCTTATTTTTATTGGAGAAAAACAACCAACAATTTTTAAAACCACTGCTTTTGTATTTTTGCTGAGATAATCCTGACACCGCCAGCTTAACATTAAGCGATGCCTATAAAATATAATAGAAAGTAAATGCCTAATGATGGGCATAACGGAGCATGGAAACATTTTATGGCTTGCTCACATTGGCAAGAAAATCAACACATGTTAGGACCAAGAAAAGACCGTAGATACCAGACCAGGTTGTAAAGGACAGGGAAACATGCGGAAGCAGAAGTTCCACCCCGATTTGAGCTTGGAAGTAGACAGTGTTGAGAAACTGCACAGATGGTGATATAGAGCAGTCTGTGAAGGAAGTATCTGGTGGAAACCTTGATGGAATAAAAAAAAGAACATAAAAACAACAAAAAGAAACTTTTTGCTTTTGTAAAATATGTAAATCAAAGTGTGTGTTTGATGTGACTACTAGTGAGTGTAAATGCGCAAGAGATGATGACTCGTTCTTGTAGGCCTGTTTCCTCTGCTGATCAGTATTTCTGCAAGGACTGGTTTTTCGCTTGGGTGGCAGGGATGTTCACTCGTTGGCACAGCTTGGCATTGTAGCTATCAGACACCTATTGCAGTACTGTTCTACCTCTTTAAGGCCACTAATCCATGGAGATTACTTGGAGAAGGGCATAGTGAAGGGGGCTCTCAATATACGGTGGACTAAATGACATACTTCAGAAGGTAAATCTAATTTTATAAGATAGATCCACTATATTGAACTCTATTCATTGAAAACAGGGACTACACTTTCTTTTTTAACAGTCATGAAACATTCACAAAAATTGACCGTATGTTTAGTCCACAAATCCTCAATAAATGCCTAAGAGCAGAAATAATGCAGATATAATTCTCTGATCACAAAGCAAACCAACTGAGAAGACAAAAAGACCCAATTACCTGGAATTTTAAAACTCTAGAGCAACAATTTTCAATCTTTTTCATCTCATGGTACACATATACTAATTACTAAAATTCTGCGGCAAACCAAAAAATACGTTTTTTGCCACTCTGACAAAAAAAATATGTATACTTTTGATTTATTCACATTGGACAGTTATTGTTGTACTGGCTATTGTAATTTTTTTATCTGGCAATCTAAAGGAAAAGAGGTCAGTGCCCCGGACTATTGTCAGGTATGGCTTTTTTTAAAAAAAAATTGTTGTTCAATTACAGCTGTCCCCCTTTTCCCCCATTACTCTCCTCTGCCCTACTCACCCCCCACCTCCCACATTCAGTCCTTCCCTCATTGTCTTTGTCCACGGGTCCGTTATACATGTTCCTTGACTTGACCCTTCCCCTTCTCTCCCCCATTATCCCCTTCTCCCTGCCCCTCTGGTCACTGTCAGTTTGTTCTTTATTTCCATGTCTCTGGTTCTATTTTGCTCACTTGTTTTGTTGATTAGGTTACACTTATAGGTGAGATCACATGGTATTTCTCTTTTGCTACCTGGATTATTCCACCTAGCATAATACTCTACACTTCCATCCATGTTGTCACAAAGGGTAGGAGCTCCTTCTTTTATTCT